TATTATTCCAGGACAGTTCATTGCACGTGTCCCATGCACAGAAGATCGCTAGTGTGAAAATGCCTATGAAGACATTTGGGGAAAACAGGAAAATAGGGGAATAGGCTCATGGCTGGTGTCATTGCTGGGCAATGGTACCACAAGAAGTACGGACCCTCTGGCACAAAGGGGTTAGTTACTAAATCCTTGCCCGTCACAAGGCTTGTCTTGACAGGATTATAGACAGAAGGGAGAGGCTGGTACAAAGGACACCAGGTGAGGGTCAAGGTATGTGCTCTGCTGCTTCCAGCTGGCAGAAACTGGAGAGGTTTAAAATGCTGACTTAGGTTTGATCTGATTTAGTAGCCTTCTGAGTTTGTTTCTTTGAAAGGCAAGTGTGGGAAGAGAGCTTATTTGGGGCTGCAATTTTCCTTCCACTGTGCAAGCCTATGTTTGAGTCACATCAGAGACAAGCAGAGAGCAGTGGCACCAGACATACTCGGAGGGGCATGGCGAAGGCTGCCAGGAAAAGGTGTCTGGGCTGTATGTGGAGGGCAGGTTGAGTCTGGATGCTGTACCGGGGTTTCCTGGACATACCTGGAGAAAAAAGGACAAAGAAGCTGCCAGGTGCAATGGTGATCCCCAGAGGGGGGACCATGTGCATGCACCAGTCCAGGGGGCATGCACAGAAGGGAGAGTCCCAAGGGGAGGCAGGCGGGGGGGCCCCTGCTCACAATAGTGAAACCCCCTTCATTCCTTTTCAGAGAGAAAATGGAAATCATGCACTTAACTCATCAGCCAACTCAGTTGTTTTCAAAATGTTTTGTGTTTACATCCTTTTTCTACCATTCGCTTTGTATATCAGACAGGGAGAAGGATTTCAGAAGAAGAGAAGGCAGTTTCCAAGGGATTTGCAGCAAGGATTTCACTGTAGGACAACTTCTCAAAGGGATATTTTTTAGAAAAGTTAAAATTTGATCCTGACCTTCAGTGTAATTTGGAAAATCAGGTCTCTAGCTGCTGATTAGAAAGTGTGGCTGACAACTCTGTAAAAACCAGCCATGCTTTAAACAGGAGATCTGGCATCTGAAAGACATTATCCATCAGTCTGTCCTTAACACCACATCACCGTCTCCAGGAGAAGCAGGACCAAACACGGAGCGATATACCTGGAGTTCAACTTCACTAATTATTGGTAACTGGCTGAGTGATTTTGGGCAAGCCTCTGTGCTCCTGCCTCTGTTTTCCTATCAGTCAAATATGTTTTTCCTGCCAAGTGCTACAATGTCTGCCTTCTCTCAGACACTCCAGTATTTTCAGCCTGTTTACCAATTCCTCTCTCTGTTTTTCCAGGACTGCTTGACCTGTTACCATACATTTGACAGGGATATCTGACAGCTATGGCATAAGCTGCCTTCCCCTCCTAGATCTTCCAAAGGAGCCTATAATGCATCTCATTCTCTGTAAGGCTGTGTGACACCTCCGGTTTCACACGGACCCGTGTTCACCACAGTGGCACGTCTGAGAACAATAACCAAAACCTGCTGGGTCTGTGGTTTCAACCCGCTCATGGTCTCCCTGCTCTTTCTAGCAATACCAATCCTAATGTAACAGTAGGTGTGACTTCTACCCAACCTTTAGCTGGTGGGCATGAGCAGATTAAAGCAAGTAATCTTTGCGCACACTTGTGAGCCTGGTTCAGTGAAAAGCTTGTGCTATTATGGGTCATGAAACATAAGAGAGGGAGGTGGTAGTGATAACTGGATATGTCAATCCATGCCAACAGTTTCACCAAGTCCTTTTTTGGGTCCTTCATGACAGGTTGCCTTCGGAGGAACAATTCAGTCTCTCGTTTTCTCTTCCCCTTTAGTAGATTCTGGCCTGTGTAACCTGATGTGTTGTTTCCTTTTATTCCTCAGAACTATCTGAGAGTACATTGTCTCCACCAGGACAATTTGGAAGCACAGGCAGGTTGTGGGGGTGTCACTGTCATCCAGGAGAGGTCGTGGTCAGAGCCCTACTCAGCTCCAGGGCGCAGGCATATCAGTCACATGAGCTGCATGAAGTCCTCTTCTTATCAAAACAGGTGAGCCTTATCTGCTGGCTGCCGCAGGTGCTCAAAGAATTGCCAACAAATGCAGGAACACCATAATGGTCCTTGCCAGGACACCTCTGCAGTAGCAGTGAAGCTGTTTCCCTGCTTCGTGCTTACGCAGAGGTGGAAGGACTGCCCTCGCTTTCTATCAGTGGAGCTCCATACAAGACAAGGGAAGGGGAAAGTGCCTCTGTTCTCTAAACCTGGCTCCCTTTCTGCTGGGACAGACATGCCAGGACAGACTGCCTACCTCCCTGTTCTCTCCCTTCTCCCTGCCTGCTGGGATTCCCTGTCCTGAGATTCTGGGCTTTTTCCCAGCCAGCAAATGCTCTATTACATTTGGACCTTGCTCTGCTGGAACTTGTTTCTGCCAGAAGCTCGGAGATGTGGCCATCATCTGCAACAACTTGCACATTCCTATTTTTCACATTATAAATTAAGAAAACCCTCACCCCGAAATGAACAGTTTGTCAGCTCTGAGCTAGCCACCGGTTAAGACACATCATTCCCCCCCCCAGCTTGACAAGATTCGGCCATGTGGCAGCAGGTGTGACAAAGATCCAGAAAGAGAGTGCAGACGGACGTACATGCAATCATTCATATGCTTATGTCACGTGTAGCTCATTGCTTTGGTGGAAACTCACTTCCATGGCTTACTTATCTTGCGTGGGCAATGGAAGCATTTTCTCTGGTTGCTCATGGAGCTGTGTGTTCTTAAGTCACTGAGGGTGGGCAATTAGCAGGGCTTGTTTCTAGCTGTTGGGATTTTGGTTGCAACATGTACAATTTTGGACATGCTTCTGAAAAGTCCTCTCTCAGAATTAAAAGATCACAAGGAAATGTCATATTTTATTTTTTTTTCTTAAAAACAAACAAACAAAGGAAATCTTTCTGTGTTTTGTTAAAAAATTGCTGAGGGACATATCCTGGACTGCTATTCTCGCTTCCCCGTGGTAGATACTACGGTAACACATGATCATACATATCCAGCCCATATTTCACTATACATTGTACATGATGAGTAATAACGTCTGACTGTGGGCCACAGTTTAGAGAACATAAAGTTGGGCAATTTGCAGTAAAATTTGGATTTAGACACATTACTGCTAGTCTCCATCATTCCCAGTAAAACAGGCAGTGGAAAAACACATTAAAATAATAAATTGTCCACTGAAAAAGCTGTAAATCCAGACTCTGCTATGAATTTAGCACCACAGAACTGCCTTAATGAGCCATGGGCTGCCAC